AAAAAGCAGACTCGTGTTTCTAGATCATCCACTGAAGCTGAATATCGAGCTATGGCTGCAGGGGTTGCAGAAGCTATGTGGCTTCGATATATCACTGATGCACTGGGTATTCCTCCGTCCAAACCGAAGTTATACTGTGACAATGAGTCGACTATCTGTGTCACCAAAAATCCGGTTCTTCATGATCGCATGAACCATGTGGGCACAGACTGTCACTTTGTACGAGATGAGGTTATGGCAGGCACTATGACTCCACATCATGTTTCCTCCTCAGAGCAGCTAGCAGACATTCTTACCAAACCGCTTCCGCCAGTTCCTTTTGAGTACTTATGTTCCAAGCTGCCCCTCGTCTCCGTTGATCAGCTTGCGGGGGGATATTAGGAAGTATAATTAAATTAGGATACTTCTTTCCTTTCCTACTAGGATTATTCTTTCCTATTCCTACTTGTACTTTGATTACTCTTGTATTCCCTATATATAGGGCCATATCTCTCAATATTCAATAAGATAAGTTATTATCAAATTGTATCACTCTTGAACACTGAGTCTTGACCACCTTTTGGGCAAAGTCACAAACCCAGAATAGATGTTTGTTTGTTTCAATCTATCTATCACGAGGTCGATTCCCATGACATTACCCGGGGGTGTTCCGATGCCCCGTTAATAAAATTGACAGTTCCTACTCTCCAACCCCCTCGCCCCGATTCGAGCACACCCCAAATATCTTCAAATGCATCTCCCAAGTTAATTTTGATTTTGGAGTCAAAATTTGACTCTAAAGTCAAAATTAACTTGTGCAATTAAAGGGGGTGGAGTGTGTGTTCAGGTCGGGGCGGGGTGATTTAGCGGGGGTTAGGGGGTAAGAACCGTTAATTTTACGAACGGGGCACCGGAGCACTACCGGATGACATGGGATCTAACACATAGAACACAAGTAGCATCAATATCAAGAAATCTCCATGATCTATGCTTGGTTTTTAATTGGATGGCCTCATAGTCTTAGAAAGGCCCATCAACATTTAAAACGGTTAAAATATTTAATAAGGTCTATACAATCAACGTGGACTAAGATCTACCAAAGCATTTGTTTTTTGGACTTGTGTTATTGTGGTCATAAGATTCGCATGTGAAATATAGAGTTTCTCGCTTATATTTAGTATCCTCATAATTAGATCTTTTTCTTTTCTCAAGACGCAATACATATAATCATTTTATATATTAAGGTCCATAAATTCAATATGGGCCTAAGAACCACAAAAAAAATTATCTTATAAAATCGAGTGAATTCTCAAATTAATCCTTTTTAATAAGGTACTTTCTCAATTTAGTCCTTAATAAGTACTCCGTAATAATTACATGCCTGATCCTTTTTAATATAGATTTATTCCCTAAATAGCTATCTGTCAAAAATGTCTATTGAATATCAGTAAAATAGAATATATTTTGATATTTTCTATCATTTAGACTTAAAATATGTTCTTGAAATATTTCTTTATAATTAATTATTATTCAAAGTGATAATCTCTAAATAAATATTTTTCTGAAATGGAGTCCATGAGCCTACTCGGGGTGGGTCCATTTCTCTAGCCGCCACCCACTTAATTTGAAAGGACCATTTTGAAGACTTGTTCATATTCTAGATGATGGAAAATACAAAAGTACTCTCCATTTAATTGTAATTTAATAAACATTTTTTTTACAGAGGACTGTTTAGGAAATATATCACAATGACAAAGAATCACATTGGTAATGTATTAATTATTGAGGACTAATTTAGAAAAAAACACTTTATTAGAAATGACCGTTTTGAGAATTTACTCTATGAAAATTACTTTTTTAATTTAAAATGTGTGTGTATTTGATGTTCGATAATCCCAAAATGTTACTCCTCCCATCCTACCACAGGGGATATTACAAGTGCAGCAGCGTGAGAGGGTGTCCGGCGCGTAAACACGTGGAGAGAGCACCGGACGATCCGACAATGCTGATTGTCACCTACGAAGACCAACACAACCACTCCCGCCTCCCTCCCCCTTCTCACACAAACTCTTCAATTCTAGACTCCATCTTAGATTCTTAACTAGACCACCTTCATGTTCATGGCATGGCGTGAGGCTAGCTAGTTAGCATAGCAATTAAGCAGATGATGATGGCTTTAATTAATTGCTCTGTACACAATTAAGGATTTTGCCTCACAAGTATGTTGTGTGGATGGCCTCACATTGATGTGTTTCTACTTCTTAATTAATCGAATTGGAGGTACTCTCATTTTTATGAAAAAGGGCAAGGTGGCTACCCCAATCAAAATGGCTCCTACAATGCCTGTCACACTGTCCAAAATATTGGCTTTGTTTGGTAACAGCGTTTTCGATTAGCGTTAGCGTTTTAGATAACATTTTAATGGTGCAGATGATTCAGAAAACGCTAACGCTAAAGGCTACCGTCGGATAGCTTTTTCAAAACGCTAACGCTAATCTCTGACGCTGATGCCAAACAAGGCCATTATTGACAAGTACATTAATACAATAAATACATGAATATGACTTAATGTATTCCCTAATATTTTGATCATTAATATTTATATTTTTATTATACACAAATGAATCTTATAAATCCAATTATTACTCGCATGATTCATTTCTAACTACCTTGCATTAAATTCCATACTCTGTATCTTATGAAACTATAAATAAAAAGTAAGGAGAACTTTACCTAAATAGGACTAAAACATAATGACTTTTCCAATATAGGACCATATGTTTTCATTTCCCAATGTAGGACTTTTGGTCATTATCAAGTAGTCATTATTCAAGTAAATGTCCATCATTACAGGACATTATTCCTCCCACTAGGTCATTATTAAGTCTTATTTAGGGAATAAAAAAGTTTAAATCCTACATTGGAAAAGTCATTATGTTTTAGTCCTATTTAGTGCAAATTTTACAAAAGTAAATCCAATCATGTTAGTTTCATATTATAATTCAATGAACCTCTACATGTAAATGCCAATCTTAAAATCTCAAACCCCTAAATATAGCTACATTTTTCATAAGATTGGGAACATTTAGGATATGAGACATCAAATTTAGGTATGAATGTGAGCGATGGAATAGGCGAAACACGGTTTTGGCAGCCCCTTGATCCGTGGCGAAATAGTCTAGGCACGGAAAAGTTAAAACTCAAGTTCGTGCCAAAATCCGTGCCAATTTCGTAAATATTTTTGTAGTGTGGGTGGGAGGCATTGTCAGTTCAGTGAGCTATGAGTAGGACTTTGAGACACATTTTAGAGAACGTACCTAGCGACCAAAACAGCCAAATTTCTCTGCTTCTTTTTCCGTTCATTAGCCGCATCTTCTTCTGTTACGTTTTTGCAAAAACGTCCCGCGGCCCAAAGAGATGTGAAAAAACAGCATAATGCAATCACACCAAGGGCAAGAACTCTTGACTTGGGAGCACAATGTTGAGAAATGGGGTACCTCTTTACCTGTAATAATAACATTAACTTGATCATTTTCTCTATAAAATCAATGAAAAAGCTTAGCTTATTAATTAATTAATTACCGTAACAAGTATATCCATCACAACTCCAAGAATTGCTGCTAGGGCATCCAAAATGATGACTGTACCAATAACGATCAAGCGACTTCGTTTATTCATTATATATTGCCCAATATATTTATGGTGCCTATATATGACGAGTTTATATATGTGTGTGGGGGGACAAACTCCATGATATAATGGGACATATAAGATTTTAAGAAGAAAAAGTAACTTTTTTAGTAAAAAAATTTTAGTAGAAAAAAAGTAATTTTTAATAAAAGTAGAGTTTTCAAAAAAGATGGCTATTTTTATCAATAGATGATTCTTAAAACTTACTCCGTTTTATGACAAAAACTATGGGGTGCAATTTAACCTTTTACAAATTGCTTTTTTTTGTTCCAAAAGCGTTTTAAACATAAAAAAAGTCACAGAGTATTATAAAAGCTAACGCTTTTCATTCAAGTTTACTAATTTTATTGGTAAAAGAAAGTTCATAGATTTTAAAAAGTAGAATGCAGTAACTTTTTTTATTGTTTATTCATTATATATTGCCCAATATATTTTATGGCATCTATGACAAGTTTATATATGTTGTGTGGGGACAAACTCCATGATATAATGTTTACATACAAGATTTTAAGGAGAAGAGAAGTTTTTTTAGTAGAAAAAAAGTACTAATTTCTATAAAAAGTGGAGTACAATTAGCAAAATTTCAAAAGGTTGACTATTTTTATCAATAGACCGATACTTAAATTAAAACTTACTCATTTTATGAGAAAAACTACCATTCAACCTTTTACAAATTGCTTTTTTGTTCCAAAAGCGTTTTAAACATTAAAAAGTTATAATAAAAGCTAATAATGCTTTTCATTCAAGTTTACTAATTTTATTAGTAAAAAAATTTCACACATTTTAAAAAGTAGATTGCAGTAACTTTTTTTGGATGAAATACGGAAGTTTGACACAGAGTTTCAGTTCAAAGAAAAAATTTGAATGAGAAAATCGAAATACATGAATTTAGAACTTTAGATATATTTTATTTAGACATTTTAAAATTTATGAAAATGTAATTGTACTAATTAAGATTTTAAAATATCATCAAGAAATTTATACAAGTATATAAGTTTCAATTGAAATATTTAAAAGTGAATAGAAAGTTAAAGATAATCAGCTTCATCAGATGTATGCTTATATATAGTCTTACACTAATAGCCCAAAGCTAATATATTTATTTAGAAGTCGTGTCAATATATGCTAATGTATGTGATGAAAGAGTTCTACGAAGTATTTTAAATGCTAATGAGAATACCTTTTCGCAGCTAATAAAGGCGGTCAAGGCTGATGATGCCTTCAATAGAGTTAAGAAACTTTGAATATGGAATATGCTCAACTTTGACATCTTTCAGTTTTCCTTGATATTAATTGATTTGACCTCTTTTTTCAGTAAAATGATATGGCCTGGTCTCTGTGTCGTCGTTCAAATTCAAGAACCCGGGCAGGATATCAATAGTTCCTTTGCCAACTTTATACGGATTTGAAGTTTTGTCCAAGCCTGCAACAAAATGTATTTACCTCGATTGACTTAATTGGATGAAAGTGAAAGTAGACTATTAGCTACAACAACAAAAAATACCCCTAAGCAAGAAAAAGAATAAGAGTTTCAAGTATAGCATCTGTATCACAATAAAATTGCGAATGAGATTTATAAACTATGACTTGAAATTGTACATATCTCGCTTTTGAACGTTACCTGAGATCATTAATCTCACAAAGATGTTTTTTTTTGTGATCTTTCTTTGCTTTAAACTATTGGCTTCAACCTTTCACCAGAATTATCATAGCCAGAAGATCCATATTCATTGTTGTCAAATCCCTTCCATAGACCTTTGGCGTTTGTTATTTTTCTTCTGAAGATAAGGAGAGCCTCTACTTAAATTCCATATTGCAGTGTCTCCCTACTACTTTTCGCATCAAAATCTACATCTATCTTCGTACTACTTTTGAGTATTACACTGACCAAATAAAAGGTGTTGGCAAAGAATCCTCAGAAAAAAGAGCTCACTTGACAATTGGTTACCCTAATAGCTTTATATTAACACAAAAACATGCACTAAAAGTTGAAACTGCATAGGAGTTCCATGCATCTAAATAGTGTGATCAGCGAAGACATGATTATATCAACCACAAACAAAAGCAAGGAAGAAAAACATATCTAACTCCTGAAACAAAATCTACCTATTGACTCACAAGAAAAATAAAAGAGGATATAGTGACAACATACCCCAATTGGTAAATAAACGAGGATATGTTGGAATTCTGGAAACATACTTCCTTGTGTTCAAAGGTAAATCATCATTGAACAAACAAATAGAATAAAGATGAGTTCATTTAATAATCTTAACACCAACATAGTCTTGGTAAGGCCTTTATATCTGTAATAAGTTTAAGTTTAAAAACTAAATACCCAAGTTAATGATTTTTTTAGTCTCTTATTAAGGGGGATTTAGTTGGTCGATTATCAATTTGTATTTTTGTTCGAATCATTTTTTGGTTAAGTATTTATTATTTAACACTAGTTTTTTTTACATATTTGACGTTGTTCAGTATTGTGAATTTCAACATTCACTTTCTCACTTTCAATGATCTATAACTTGGTACAAGTATTCAAATTTATGTTTATATAAAAAATTGTCAAAGTTTTTTGATGTACTTCAAGACATAATAAAATATTATCATATAAAACAAGTATGCCTATAATTATAAATAATAGAAGGTTTATTTAAAAAAGAAGAAGAAGAAGAAAGAAAGTAATAAAAGTGATGGTAGGGAAAAGGAAGAAAGAAAAGAAAAAATGGAAAAGGAAACCAACAAGGGAATGAAAAAGAAAAAGAAAAGATAGGGAGTGGGTTTTAGACTTTTTAATATAAAATAATTTCTAAAAATAGAAATGGAAAGATTATTATTGGACGAACAAAAAGGAAAGTGGGAACTTTATTATTGGACAGAGAGAGTACATGTTTAAAAAAACAACCCAAAAAGAATCGAACACGAATCAGGCACAGACCTGACCAGAATCATCCATAACTAGTAGCGATTTTAATTCTCTCATACGGCGTAATGGGTACCGGGCACCAGCGGTCTCAAAACACGATTCTTGCTTTTGGGGATACAAATTAAAATCAATATAATTTATATTTTGTTTTAAATACTCCCTAATATTTTTCATCACAAAATAATATGAAGTAAAAAATATACTCTATAACATATTTTCTAAAGAAAATTGAAATCAAATAATCAATTTAGAACATAACTAAATTTGAAAGCAAAATTGACTAGAACTTCAAAACCACCAGAAAAAAGTTCCGAAATCAGAATAGCCCGTCCCTAAATCCAAATGTATCAGTCGATTCTGAGGGGTTCTCGTGACGAGAATCTTGTTCTTTCTTTTTTTATTTGAATTAAACTACAGAATACTTAAATACCAAAAGTTTTACCCTATGTTGTACATTACAAATGTGTACCATCCTTTTATGACAGTGTGATTGCTCACACATATACAAGATGGCAGCATAAAATTTTTTTAATCGCACTAATTTTTGCACTCATGAAATACTCTCTCCCTCTTATAATGTTCTTACTGGTTCTATTTACGAGGTTTGACCAACTATATTTTCAATTCAATTTATTTGATTGTAGGTGTAAAATTAAAAAATAAAATTTATATATTTAAAAACTACATCAAAAGGTCTACAAAACAAGTGGTGAGAAGACTATATTATTTTATCAAATAACTAATGAAAATAGATAAAGAAAGTGATTAAAATTTAACCGTGTGAAAAGCAAGTGGGAATATAAAAAATGATGTACATCCCGGTAGTACTCAATCTTAAATAAAGTAGTACTCATTCTCGTACAAATATAAACATTCATTTCGAAATATGTAGGACTCATTCTGGCAATGATAGTACTCATTTTAAAATAAAGAAGTACTCATTTTTACACATTTATCCAATATAATTATAATAAATAGCGTAGTGTTCATTCTTTAAAAAAACAATGCTCATTCTCAAATAAGGAAGTGTTCATTCTGAAATAAAGTATTGTTCAATTTTTTTCACAATTAAAAATTTCAGTACCATTATCAACTACTTCTTCTATTCGATTCGTTACTACTCATTTATACTTTCTGAGGATGGAGAATTTAAAACTCAGGTTTATTCATGTTTGTATTGAATAAAAATATGATAATTTTCATAAGTGCGGGTACTCTTTCTCAAATCTGCTGGTACTCATTGTCATATATAAAATATAGCTAAAGTAAGGTACAGATTTGCCTAAGCACGAGAGTATGAATAAACTCAGCCGGCAAATCTGTAAGTTCAGACACCGTAGTACGTACTTAATAGGCTAACAGGCAGCGGAGTCCAGTATCAGTTTTCTTCTTCTTCTTCTTTCTCCGTTCTCCTTCCGACCGTGTGCTGTGCAACCAAGTTCATTTCCCGGTGAGAGATAAATGTCGGGAGGAATTGCTCGTGGCCGTCTCACAGAGGAGCGCAAAGCCTGGCGCAAAAATCACCCTCATGTTCAATTCACTCTCTCTTCCTCTTCCAATTTTGCATCCCTCCATATTTTCACCTGTTTTTCTGATCTGATCTCGAGTCTCATGATAGTTTAGGGTTTGTAAAGTTTTAAATTTGTGTTGTATTTGGATTTATGTTTTAAATATTACCTCTCTTTTTTTTTCAATATTAGGGTTTCGTAGCTAAGCCGGAGACACTTCCAGACGGTTCGGTTAACTTGATGGTGTGGCACTGCACTATTCCCGGGAAGGCGGGTGTACGTATTTTTCTACTCTATATCAGCCCTTTCATATATGACCACATTTTACCAAACCTTATAATCTTACTTGTTGATAAGAGGTAAATTTTGCTAAAAGGTGAAAAGTACATTCTTTAATAGTTCTATTGAGCAATTTTGTGAGGAAAATTTTCTCTTTTCAGCTAAATCTCTGAGTTTTCACATTACTTTGGGACGCTATTTGAAGTTTTAGCATAATAGAGCATATGGTTCTAGCACATTACTTGAGCCCTTTCAGCATAATACTATCATTAATAGAGCACATAGTTCTATTCTGTACAGTATATGCTACAAAATTAGAAGCAGTTCACCTTGCCAATTGATGGTTCTTAGAAGCGGAATTGTAGTGGTAAACTTGGGTTTATATAACTCCTGAAGACTACAATAATATATTTGAAAACAATTACAGTGGATGAAGATTCAAATAATGCCTTGGTGTTGTTTTTTTTGTTTAAAGCAAAACTAGAATTAGAGAAACAAAACGAGTTAGACAGCGTTAACTCAGACAAACAGAAATGACGAATGAGAAGCAATTTTTAGAAAATATTGAGAGTATATTAATGGAGAGTGTTGGATGAATATTTCTTTTTGTGCTATGTATAATTGTATATGCTTCGCTAAGCTGCAAAAGGAAGTGCGCATCTTCGAGAATCTGTTTGGTTTCATGCCTGGCCGGTCGACTATGGAGGCCATTCACCTTCTGCGAAGGTTGATAGAAGAGTATAGGACTAATAAAGACTTTAATATGGTGTTTATTAATATTAAGAAGGTGTATGACAGGGTGTGAGCAGAGATCTTGTGGAGGTGCTTGAGCTTAGAGAGGTTGAGATTGGTATTCCAGCAGAGGGGGGCTGGGGTGAAGATTGTTAGGGTGACTTTGACCCTTTCCCTTCAAAGGTTGGGTTACACCAAATATATGCCCTTAGTCTCTTCTTGTTTGTTTTGGTGATAAATGTTCTATCAAAGGACGCCCAAGGGGAGGTACCTTAGTGCATGCTATTTGTCAACGATATTGTACTGATCATTGAGACATGTGAGGGACTCAATGATAAGTTATAGTTGTAGCATCCTTTGGAATCCAAAAGCTTAGCATGACTAAGGTTGAATACATAGTTGTGAATGGCGCTCGCCATTCTCGCCTATGGCTGTGTGGCGACCATGTGACGCCATCTTCCGACCTGGCGAGGCATTTTACGCCATTCTCGCCAATGGCGGTCGCCATGGACGCCAGACTCTAAGTCGAAAGGCGTTCGCCATCTACGCCAGACGCAGGTCAAGGGTTTTTTAATTAAAAACCTTGACTTTTTTTTAAAACGCGCTGACCTATATCTCGATCGAAACACTTCATCGATTCAACTGCCTCGCCTCTGCCCTCTCGCCGTCGATCGAATTGCTCCCCAGCCGACGCAGCCTCCTGCCCTCCTCAAGTTCTCCTCAGCCGGCGCAGCCCCTCCTCTCTCTCCCGAGTCCGAACAGCGCACATCTTCGCAGACTCAGAGCCGGCGCAAGTAAAGTCCTCTTCGCAGGTCACACTCAGACTTTTTTTTTGTTTTCTACTTTTCTTATTGTTTTTATTGGAATGGTTATTGTTTCTTTATTGTCTTTATATTCTTAATTTCTTATAGATATAATTTATTGTCTTTATTTTCGCTATTTTCTA